ATGATGTTGACTACGGAATAACCTCTCCTTTTTCCCGTCGGCAGTCTAAGGCCGAAGATTTCTCCGGCGACCGGAATCTGGGAAACTCCATCATTGTTCTTCGCGGTGGCTTGTCTCTGTGCTGAGTTTTTCCCAACTTGCTTACCGCTGTTATTTATGGTTCATGGAGGAAAGTTCCTTCCTTGGGAAGACAAAGTCGGCTGCGAGTGTCTTGGAGGAAGGGACGTTGGCAGGTGGCGGTTCGGCTGGTTTTGGAGAATATTTAACAGGTGCTGCCATGCTTTGTAATCGGTGGTAGATCTGATATCTTCCCTCCTTTGGAAATCAAACAAAAGGAATACCCGAATCTCGGCCCCACGGTGGGCGCCAAAATGTTTGACACCGATTAGTCGGGGGATTTGTGTGGAACCTTGATCCGAACTCCATCGTCTGATCTCCTCGGGAGTGGAAGAATCCTGTGAAGAGTCGGGGGCGGTCCCCGGGATCTACACTCCGACGCCCAAGTTAGAATAGGATATATGATAGAGTGTAGAGAATGTAGAGAGAGATAGGGTTTAGAGAGAGAACCATAAGTGGTAAAGTGAGGGAAGGGAGAGAAGAAGTCCCTTTGCTTGGAGGGTCTGGCCTCCTTATATAGGAGTCGGAGGCATCTTGTGGACGCCTCCCATTGTCGATGGACGCCTTCCGGTGGTGGACGCCCCCGGGTAGGCTAGACGCCTCCCCGTGATGGACGCCTTCGGGTAAAGGACGCCCCCGGGTGGACTGGATGCCTCCCGGTGTACTGGACCCTAGAATGGGCTTGGGCCCAAGGTGAGACGCTTTGTGGCGGGCTTGGGCCAGTATTAGGTGGGTTAATACTAGACCCAACACTTTTGCCTTCTTCTTGCTTCTGCCTCCCTCAAATTTTTCTATCTTGCTTTGAATTTTTTGCACAACCAAAGTTGTCAAGCTGGTGTATGTCTAGTACGGTTCAATCGGAGTACAATCAGATTATGAGATTTAATAAAATATGTATAAATGTGAAAACTATTAACATCAAATGAATTTAATCCTATATAAAACATATTTGCAGACAATATACTAATAATCAACATTCATATTTAAATGAAATACAATATTCCAAACCAAAATAACAAATACTCATATATAAATACAACATTTAAACGTCTAGACCCAAACGTCTATAATTAAACGTCTGACTGCTAAGCTCGCCCATCTAGAGGTTCAGAACGAGAACTCGGCTTCAGAGGCCTCTTTGCGCAAGGAAGGGCAAATCCGGGAAGAGCTGGAACAGACTTTGTGGCAAGAGGAGTTATTGTGGCTCCAAAAAGCGAGGAGCAACCAAATTCTTAACGGGGACAGAAACACTCGCTACTTCCATACAGCTGCCCTTACGAGAAGAAGAAAGAACAGAATCACCAAGTTACAAGCAGCAGATGGGACGTGGATTGAGGAACCAGATGAGCTTAGGAACATGGCCCGGAATTTTTATGTCGATTTATTCACTGATGACTGTTCAGGGCAACAACAAGTTCCAGCCTCCTTCAACGTTCTGCCTGAGACGATGACGGCCAACTTAGCTAAAGTCCCATCCCAGGAGGAGACCTTCCAAATAATCAAGGAAATGGGGGGGCTAAAAGCACCAGGGAAAGATGGTTTTCATGCCTCTTTTTACCAAAAATGTTGGAATAATGTAGGGGCAGATTTCTATGATCATTTGGTTGCTTGTTTCAGGAACCCGGACCGGATCAAGCTGTGCAATGATACCTTGCTAGTGCTGCTGCCAAAGGTGGATTACCCGAAGCAGATAGCCCAGTTTCGGCCGATTGGACTTTGCAACGTGAGCTATAAAGCTATGGCGAAATGCCTAGCTAATAGACTCAAAGGATTCATGCCGCGGCTCATAGACCAGAACCAGACCAGCTTCGTTCCTAAGAGGCATATCACCGATAATATAATTATTCTGCAGGAGGTAGTGCACACCATGTCAACCCGGACAGGAGCAAAAGGAAGCATGATCCTGAAGATAGACCTTGCCAAAGCGTACGACAGGATTAATTGGGTGTTCCTGGAGTCGACTCTCCTGGCGACTGGGCTCCCAAAAGATTTTGTCAAACTGATTATGGCCTGTGTAACTACTACCCGTTTTCAGGTGCTATGGAATGGCGGCTGCACGGAACCCTTTCAACCGTCCAGAGGCCTTCGTCAGGGATGTCCTCTCTCCCCATACTTGTTTACTCTTTGCATTGAAAGGCTAAACCATTGTATTAAGGATTCCATAGATAGGAAGGCTTGGAAACCGATTACTCTGTCTAAGGATGGTCCGCCTCTCACCCATTTATTCTTTGCAGATGACCTGGTGCTTTTCGCGGAGGCCAACCAGAAGCAGGGAGAAGAAATCTTGACTTGCCTGGACCGTTTCTGTGGGGCTTCTGGGGAGCGTGTCAACAAGGACAAGTCTTGTGTCTATTTCTCCAAGAATACCAGGGAGGGTCTCAAGGCTAGGATCAGCGACACGTTGGGGATGCAACGCACCTACAATCTAGGCCGGTACTTGGGTGTTCCAGTGCTTCATGGCAGGACTACCAAGAACACTTACAAGTACATCTTGGAAAAGATTGACCAGCGACTGTCGGGTTGGAAGGCCAAAAGCCTTTCGCTGGCAGGGCGAGTTACCTTGGCAGTCTCTGTTCTGAACGCAATTCCGAACTACGTGATGCAGACGGCAGTCCTCCCTATTTCAATCTGCGACACCATTGACAGGAAAATTCGAGATTTCGTTTGGGGTGCAGAGGAAGGCCATCATAAGGCCCACTTGGTGAAGTGGGAAACCATCTGCAAACCGAAGGAGGAAGGAGGTCTCGGGTTAAGATCAGCCAGGGCTCTGAATCTCGCTTATCTAATGAAACTTGGGTGGGCCTTTTTGAATAAGTCTGACGACCTGTGGATTCGTGTGATGCAAGGGAAATATTTTAAATCTAATGCTGCAGGTGAACTTGTCATGAGAAAGAGTAATTACTCTAGACTTTGGAAAGGGATTGTGGAGTGCTTCCCGATCATCAAGGAACGGATCGTCTGGGACATCCGAGAGGGCCACAATGTCCATTTTTGGACCGATGCTTGGCTGACCGAGGACCTTATCCTGCGAGATCACGTCCAAAATGGAGGGCAAGGCATTAACTGGCACGCCACTGTGGCGGATATGACCACTGATGAAGGTGAGTGGAATTGGAAGGAAATCGAACCATACCTGACTCAACAGCTTATTTTCCTGGTTGCAGGTACTGATCCACCGGCGGCAGGCTCGGGAGAAGATATCACGGCTTGGGGAATGGAACCTGACGGGAAATTCAAACTGCGCTCGGCGTACTATGCTGCAGTTGATTGGATCGGATACACGACTATCCATACGGATGGGGAAACCCCTCAACCCCACTGGAAGCAGTTGTGGAAATGGCCCGGACCAAACCGGATTAAGCATTTTCTCTGGCTTGTGTTCCATGACAGGTTGATGACAAATGCGGAACGGAAGAGGAGAAAGTTGATGAACAATGAAGCCTGTACCACCTGTAACAATGGAGTAGAGACTATTGAACACATCCTTCGTGACTGTCCTAGCTCCAAACAGGTATGGAGATTGTTGGGGATAAATGATACTCTTCTCACTTGCGGCCTTGGTTTTACAGCTTGGCTAGAGTCACACCTTGGGAGCGATCAGGAAGGGCTTCTCTTTGGAGTGGCGTGCTGGTATCTCTGGAAGAGACGGAACGAGAAGACTTTTCATAATCTGACTCAAGAAGATCACATCCTGGCGCAGCGGATCAGATGCTGGACCAATACTATCCGCAATGCGCAACTGAGTGACAAAGCCTCCCACGACCAGTCCCCGGCGAAGACATCGCAGCAGCTTGCGTGGAAACCTCCCCCGGCAGAGTGGATGAGCATCAATACTGACGGATCGGTCAAGCAACCAGGATCGCTTGCGGCAGCAGGAGGCTTGATACGTGATTGGACAGGACGCTGTGTGGACGCGTTCGTGGAGAATCTGGGAATTTGCACGATCACCAGGGCCGAGATCAAGGCGGCAATTCGGGGACTGCAGATGGCTTGGAGGAAAGGTTATCGCAAAGTGCACATCCAAATGGATTCCACCACTGCCGTTAATATCCTCTCCTCCCAAAATCAGACCGAGCACAGGTACCTCAACCTGGTCCAACAATTCAAGGGACTAGTTCAGCAAGACTGGGAAGTTAAAATTTCCCATACCTACAGAGAATGCAACAAGGCCGCGGACTTCTTGGCCAACAAGGGGCACGGTGTTAGCATTGGTTACCATGACTTTAGGATCGATGATCCAGGCTTATCGTTTTGGATTTTGTATGATACTTTGAGCATTGCTCAATCTCGCTTAATCTAAGTAGCAGGCAGGGGCGCCCTTTTAGCGTCCCATCTTTTTACCAAAAAAAAAATAACAAATACTCATATATAAATACAACATTTAAACGTCTAGACCCAAACGTCTATAATTAAACTCAACAAATAACATCAACATTTAACTTTCAAGCTCATGAAATAAATAAAATCTAATTAACTAAATTCACTAATACATTGTTATTTTTTTGAAAGACCGGAAATCAATCACGTCGTTTATACCAGTGGTAGTCCAATTGATTTCACTATCTGACACCGGTTATACTAGGTTCAGATGAGTGGCGTGACAACAATGTGTACAACTCTCTCTCACCAGTATTTGGAAACTGACATTGCAAAGGTTATTTGAATCAAATAACCAAAATTTAAAAATTGAAAAGTTTGAGGGACTATGATGTAGAAATTAAAAGGTTTGGTTGCGATCTGATAGTTCGAGTTTGACAGGCCAAGATCCATTTCAACGACAAGTAACAACGGGCTTCGTTGCAAATTTGGGTAATTTGTGTAAGCCCAATTCGCCAGGCCTGCAGGCTGCAGCTCGCCCTGATGGCGCGGAAGATCATCAATTTCGTTCGTCGGGGTGCGATCCCGGCAGGAGGCGAAATTGTGCGCCCAGGAAAATACAACTGGTAGGTGTGAGTCTGCAGGTCAATTAAAGAAATGGAGTGCGCCGGCAGGGGAAGCAGAGGACCGTGCGTCGCTCCGGCCACAAGGCGATGCGGTGGATGCGGCGCAGTTGCTTATTGCTCCGTCTCTCATCAGGTTAGTTTCCCAGCCTTTTTGTCCAGTAGTTTCGTGGCCAGTTTCCGGTGGGTTTACGCTTACTTCCTTCCTGCGCTAGCTTTCGCACTGGGATCACCATAAGCAAGAATGCGAGAGGTTGGAGCAGCAAATGAAGCGCGTCGAAGCCTTGAACGAGTTCCCTTTCACTTTCTCCGAAGAAGCTACTCTGGAGGTAAATTTTCCTCCCCGAATCTTGGGATAGGGTTAGTAAGTTGCATGTGCGATTCGCAATTGCATGTATGAGGAGAGCACTATTTCTGGTAGGTGTTTGAAAAGCGGGAGAGTAGGTGTTCGTTCTTGAGCAAAAGAGGGATCCATGGATTGGGAATGTGGAAGTATGAATGCGGCTGCGGAGACTCTCTTGCTTCTGCTAATTCCACAAGGTTTTCTGGTTTAAACCGTATCAACTATGTTGTTGCTTTGATGGAATGCGCTGCCAAACGAGAAATGACCTCATCTGATGTTGAAATTTGGCTTTCTACCAAAGAAAAAAAGAATTGGGGTCAAGATTGAAGTAGTGGAAACTCATTCATGTTCAGAAGTAACAAGCAATTTTTGGCATTTGATTCGGCTAACAGGTCAGAACGAGAAAGTTGGAATCTCCCTCGCGAGCTATGCCCTTGTAGTGGTACGAACGCTGTTTATGGAATTTCATTTTCTGCTATGTAATGGATGTGCAGTGCAGTGATTTCATTGTTCATGCAGGGCCAGCGTCTTTAAAGTCGGATGCTTTGAGCAATTGGAAAGATTACTTTGAGTGGAGGTGTCTACCCCTCCATTCACCAGTTGCTCTGCTTCTTCATTGGGTATGAAAAGTTAAAAGTTCAAGTTACCAGTTGAAGGAGAGCATAGTATTAGTATATGGGTCCGTGGATTCGGGTTTGATTATCTTGAAGATACAAACAGAAACTGACTGAACTGAGCTTGTTTTGTTTCAGCCACTCCTTGTATATTACGCCACTCAAATTGCTTTTTCGGGGAAATCAGGTGTTGAGACGACCAAGCAACTCTTTATACACTATATTGGTATGTGACATGACTCCTAAGTTTACCTGTAATTGCTGTTTTCATACATTGTCATGAGATTTAAAATTGAGATCCTAAAAAATTTATTTGCTCATCTAATGTGTTGGATTAGTTTAGTGTGCAACCGTAGTTGATATGCCAGATTTTTTTACTCTCTTTGTAATGTAATTTGTTAAAGGGCCTGAGAAAGAGCTTTTTCAACTTGCTGCTTTTGGGGAGTTGTGTGCACTCTTTCCTGGTGTACGCATCCATGTAGAGCTTGTTGGACCAGCCATTCCAGAGAAGAGGTTAAGTAGCTTTTGGTTCTTGCTGAACCAGTTTACTACCAACAGCTTCTCTTACATTTCTCATTCTACTCTTTACCCAGGGATGGTGAGAAGATCGATATAGATGATTATGCCCATTGTCAGGGTGCAGATTGCATGTGCAGATCTTCCAGCCTGAATAAAGGGTCAGCTGTTAGCTCTTGCATGTCTTCTGCTGTGACACTAAGGCTGCGAAAAGGATTTTACCATGACCGTTATAGAGATATAACTGAGGTCCTCTCTTTCATCTCCTCCTGTTATTCTGTCTGTTCCGCGATTGAGAATTGTATGGCATATTATCTTTATGTTTCTCCTTTATATATGTTTACACCTACAATGTTCTTAACGGTATTATCCCAACTTTGCTAGTCTGATAATCTGCAAATCTTTCAGGATTCATTTCCTCACCTTGTCGTTGCTCCTAATGCTGGCATTGCAGCTTATCCAAGTTGGTTACCTACTATAGTATGTCTCTCTCTCTCTCTCTCTCTCTCTCTCTCTCTCTCTCTCTCTCTCTCTCTCTCTCTCTCTCTCTCTCTCTCTCTCTCTCTCTCTCTCTCTCTCTCTCTCTCTCTCTCTCTCTCTCTCTCTCTCTCTCTCATGTGGATTATGGCACTCGTGAGGAGTAATAATGCTTATATTTTACTAAAATTTCTCTAGTATATGCAAACAATGTTACAACCAAGGTACTTAGACTATAGATTCTACATTAAAGTGAAATCGTATAACATAGGAATCATAAATTGGCATATAGTAAAATAGAATTTTCAGGTTACATGCATCACATAAAATATATATACAAACTTAAGTTTTTTGCTCATTCTGGTTGCTTCAAAATGAACATTAGGAGCTGATAAAGGAGATGAACATTCCAGCGGTATTTTCTGATTACTGCGAAGAAGCTTGTCATCTAGCAGCTCGGTGCATACACAGTGTGACTGGCCATCCTATTAGAATTCCTGTGAGTTAACCAGTGCTGGTTTATTCAGATACGGAGTTCAACGAACTGTTCCTCGGCTTATGTTTAATTTCTGGACCCTAATGGACTGTTTCCCTGGTTGTAGATTCAATTGAATCCTTTCAGGCAGCCACTGGTGGTAGAGAACAGCCCTCTTTTTATTCCTTGCTACCCCAATTGCTTCCTGTTTGGGATTTGAGAAGTGATAACATCTGCTGTGGAACGAATGTGGAAGTACTGAACAAAAAGCTGTACGTCGGGCAATGTGTACGTATAGGTTTACCTTTCCTTTTCCATGGTTTTGATAATCTCTTACTTAAACACAGTTTATCAAACATTTGCAGTTATCTGTGTTAGTATATCTGGGCCATTCATCTTTAATGGCAATTTGACGGTGGAACTTTTGTGATAATTCTACTTGAGAATGCGATGTGAATGATGTATAAATAGTAATGTCGAACCATCTTCTAGGAAAGCCAAAACAGAGCATGGCAGAAACTAATCCCAGAATCAAGCGTTTTTGTTCCTTGCATTCTCTTACGGCTGTGTTACAATGTTGTATTTAGCATTGAGAATGGGAAGTTGCCGAGACTGAGATAGTTTTTCAATTTAGGAAAATTTCAGAAAATTCAAGTTTGAGATATAGGGAAAACCATAACAGGCTATTTCTTTATGCTTGGGAGTCTAATAAATTTTTAAGAGTTTGGTTTGCTTTATTTCAATATTTTTTTTGAAATGAGAGTGAATGTAGCTAGTATATTTTTGTTTACGATATCTGATTTTTCTATGTAAATGTGGTTCAGTGCTATACCATATCCTGTATTTGTCGCTAGGTTCCAAAACTTCAACCTAGAACCAAAGTGCAAGTTTCCATAGTTTTGATCTAGAATCTTCCTCAATAAACAATAACCACTAACAACGGCAAAAAAGCACACTTCCTCCATTTCCAACGAATCATGAACACTATTCATAACAAACTTTATTTGCTACACTTGCTATCAAACTTTTCAAGCACAAGTGTGAAGGAGGTAAACAAACATGTAAGTGTCTCAATAGTTTGCATGCAACGAAACACTTTTTAAGAGCATAATCAACTTTTGTGGCAACTCTATTTTCTTCCTAACCCTCTTTATTTCTTTCTTTTTGTTTTCTTTACCACTTATTGAGGGCTAGTAGAGAACACCAACACATGCCACATTTTGAACTTAATGAACAATGCTCACTTTTAAGAACTTCCTCCAACACTCACTTTTTCATTCTTAGCAAAAGCCATGCACAAATCACTCATGTGGAACCTCAATTAAGCTCAAATGATATGATGGGAGCTTCCAAACACAAGGGTGGCTCGACAAAGGTGTAGACCCGAAGAAAGTAGGGTCGCTTTATCCATCTCAATCAAGCTCAAGTAGAGAGATCTGCCTAACATGAGAGATAGGGGTGGGCATTGGGTGGGTCGGGTGGATTTTGACCATAAAATGCACCCACCCGCGCTTAAACGGATTGATAATTTTTAACCCACCACCCACCCACATTTGGTCTCGGGTTGGGTCGGGCGGATGGTGGATGATGCGGGTGGGTTTGTGGGTTTACCCACATCACAATGTATACAATATAAAGGAGTCAACTTGACATGATAATAAGTGAAGAGAGTTCTCGGGGAAAACAAGAAGATGAAATAGGGCGGCAAAAAATGTCGAATTAGTTCTTAAATTGGATAGAAATTCTATTATGAAAGAGTTTTCTACAGATTAAGATGATTACCAGGTGCAAGAAACTAAGGAAAATAATTCCACAAAGGAAAGAGCAGTGATCTAGGCACAAGAATTAGAGGAAAAAATAAAGGGAAGAAGAAGGGATCGCTATTTGGAAGGTTGGCTTTGAGGTTCAAACTCCATGAGCAGTCCTAATTTATGTCTAACGTCTCCACTCTCCCCTCTCTAGCGCCAACGACTTTGATCTTTTGGCTGTTGGGTTGAGCGGGTCACCCGCGCACCCACCCACCACCCAGCTGATGGCTCCCAGAGCAACCCGTCACCTACCCACAGACCCACCCACTTAACGAAATTCGGGTAAAATGCGGGTGGGTCGGCCCAAACCCGCGGATGATCCGCCCGCATGCCCAGCCCTAATGAGAGAGACCCTTAGACACACGGCTCAAAAGGGTTGAGTATGGGATAATTCAATCGGGATAAATTAAATTTTGGGCCGTGGACTAAACCTATGCCTCCATCTTCCTTGACAGTGACAACGTGCATGCTACACATCATGGTAAGAGGGATTTATCACACAAGAACAAAACGAGCGGCAAAAATCTTACATGGCTACCTAGATGCTCAATCATTCATTGTAATTTCCAAATTTTGATGCATAAGCAATTGTAATAAATGAGTAATCAATCCAAAACATCCATTAGTTTGCTAACACATGAGAACTGAACATTTATAGAATCCTATTGCAAATCTCAGTCATTATTATAGGTTGTTCTCAATTGCAAACAAGTCATCCATACATCAATGATAATAGCCACGAGATTCAAAACAAAACACCAAATGTGCTACTATGATCATGCAAATGTAGAAGTTGTTTTGCTTGGAGCCCTCAAAATTTTTAAAATTTGGGCATTCAATTAAGGTCCAAGGACTCAAAATCACACCAATCATTCACACACAAGCATAATAGACTACCCCCCCCCCCCCCCCAACACACACACGCGCGCGCACACACTTAAACTCGACATTGCTCTTAACGGAGTAAAATAAGGAGGTAGAACGATGTTACCGGATAGTGTGTGAATGTTGGTGGACGGGAGCGGAGGATGGGTGAGATCTGAAAGAGCAAGGCCATGTCCAAAACACCAAAAGCTCTTCAAAGTTTGTCTTATTCAAGCGAGAAGAAAACAGACCGAGTGGTAGTTGGGTTGCCTCCCAACAAGCGCTTATTTAACTTCGTGAGCCGGATGGTTGCACTTCAAGTCTCCGTCCATCAGAGCACCTCCTTGAAGTTGAGGTTCTCCCTGGTGATGTGGTGTTCAAGTCACGAGCTTTGAACGAGTCTTTGCTTGAGGGCTCGTGAACATGATGTGAATTGAGGCTCTACCCACAAGACCTCTTCTTCTTTTTTCTCTTTGCCCCACACCATATAGTGCATCATGGATTGACTGCCATCGCATCCACCAAGAGGGATCGATGATGTTTTGGCCTTGGCTTGGCAAAGAGCCACAAACGGGTCCTTCTCCAAAAGTGCATCGAGGTCAGGACTCAGGTGGAAAGCTTTCATAGTATTTGTAACTTGTATATGCTTCATCCACCTTGACCTCGTCCTCATCTTGGGCCTCAGTTGTTTCTTCCACCTCAACCTCCCTACACTCTTCTTCAATGTGTTATTACCCTTGGGAACAACCAAGATCTTCCTCTTCTTTGATGCTCACTTCCTCTTCTCTTCCACAACCTCTTCCTTGTCCTTCCCATTCATGTCTTCAACCACAGTTTGGAGGACAAGATACCATGCAAGATCATTGAAAGGGTTCTCTTGCTCATCTACCCTCGTGACTTTGTCTTGATCATCCTCACCGCAGGAACTCTCCGGGGTGAGTACCTCTTATTCCCCATAGTCTTCATGGACCGCCCTTCCAACCTCCACTACTTCTTCCGATGGCGAGAAGCGATGGCGTGCACAAGCTCGTGCAACCTTCTCTTATAGTATCAAACCGGGTGGAAGGAGGGGTTGTAAATCCATTTTGGAGCATGCTCTTTCAAAGTTCTCCATGGCAAGCTCCAATTTGGACTTCACTTCGGGTTGTGTGGGCGATCCAAGTTCAAGCATCCTATGTCGGTGCCTCGAGCAAACCACTCCACCTCGAGCTCCAATTCGCACTTTGGCTCCGGTTGTGATTGACACATGGTCTTGAGGAATGTCCCATGAAAGTATCCATTGCCAACTCCAACTTGGTTTTCTCCTCAGTTTGTGGAGGAAAGTTTTCTTGGTATGGGGAAGCTTCTTGATATCCGCAATGGTATGCTTGTTCTTCTTCAAAGGGAGGTTGATCATAGAACGCGGTTCCTAGGCTTCTAACCTCTTGATTACTGCATGAAGCACCGAGGTACCCCCATTCGGGTGGTTGTGGATACGCCCACATGTTGTAGAAGCCATTGAGATCCATGATTCAATCTACACAAACAAAAACACTTAAAAGAAAATCAAACACACACAAACCACCCTTCAAGATGAAGAGTGTGTCAAAAAACACAAAAACAAAAACAAAAGGGCTAAAGTAACAGCCGAAGCCCTTTTGTCGATAACCTAGAATTTTCCCCAGCAACAACGCCAACAACTTGGATCCAGTCTAACTACACATCCTAATTGAAGACTAAGTATAATCGACGATCGGGTGTAGCATAGGGTAAGCAAGCAATAAAAATATTGAACCACGGGTCTCCTAGGTGTACTTTACTTTGGGTTAAGTTTTGTTATCTAGCCTACCTAGAATAGTGATTAGGAAAACTAAACTAACTAACCTAACTAACCACTAGCCTAGCTAATTACAAGTTGTAGAGCTCTTTTAGCTTGAATCTCCCTACTTCTATCATTTGGATCAATGTTGAGTATCATTCTAGCTCGATCGACTCACGAACCTACCGTTATGAGATAGACTCACTTGAATTTAACCTGGAATGGCGAAGTGATGGATGGGTGGTGCTCTATTCAACCTAGGGATTCACATTGGATGTCGATCGAATTAACTCCCTCAGGGATTACACGGACAACATATGATAGGAGTGACTCGAAGACCCCAATAATGAGCTCTAATGGGATTATCTCCCTCCTATGTCAAAAGCTCAATTTACATGAAATGGAATCCAAAATCATGAAAACCATCCATCAAATAGATAAAATCATCAATCAAACATAGAATATGTCACAATAGATAAAACCACCCATTCATGTCTTCAACCACGGTTTGGATGGGGAGAATAAGTCTCTCTCTCTCTCTAAAAACTCCTCTTTTGTTTTTGGGTCGAAACCCTAGAAAGAGAACCAAGTTCTCCTCCAAAAACCAGCTCTCCTTTCTCTCTCCCTACTACTGTCTTTTTATATAGTCCGAAGGCCAAAATCATTGTCAGATGTCACGGGGGTGACATCGGCAAGCCGACCATGATCTCGGACGAAGAGGCATAAGTTTCCTGTTTTTTTAGTCCAATGTCGCGACCTCTTCACAATTGTCACGGTCTAGTGATCGTGACAATTGATCTGCCATCGAGGCATGCAAATCCTTCTGATCCATTCAATTTTCACGCCCTGCGCTCAATTTTCACGGCATAAGGGCCGTGAAAATTCCCTCCAAACCGTGACTTTGGTATTTTCTTCACTTTTTGACGTTTTTCCAAACTCCAATCCTCTCGAAACTCGTCCTCGACCTTGCCACACGTGGTAGGACTTTGAAATATAATAAAAGAAGCACAATCTAGCGTAAAATAGATCGAGTGACGATGATTACGAAGTCAAATGATCAAGAAATAAAGGGTAAATATGTGTAATTATGCCCGAATCA